AAAACTGTTGGGTATGAGTGTGAGTATGTTTAGGTTTTCAATCGTTAGACGTTTTTGAGAGTTTACAGAAACTATAAATTGTGTTACGATCATCGCTATTGTCTCGAGCAGTACTGCAGTAGTTAAATGAGTGTGATTGAGAAGTAATTGACATTTATATGTTGTTAAACGATTGTTTTTATCATCGATTCGTGAGAAATTTTGTGCAGCTTCCGAAAAATTTTCATGTTAAAAAGTGTTCAGCTTGGATGAGTTCGGTGTGAGAATCAGAGTTATAACTGAAAGTCAGCCTGATGCAAGATTGGATCGTTTGTTGAATCGAATGAAATTTGACGATGCCGAAATATTCGCAAAACAGTTCAATCTAGATATGCAAGTATGTAACTATTACTGCACATTTTATCTTCAGTATTATTTTATCGTTATGAGCGTTTGCATCTAAAAATTGCTCGAATATCTTCAGAAGGTGCATAAAAGTCGTGTGAATTATATGTTGTCGACACTGGCTTGTTGTGATCACATGGAACGTGAAGCATTCAATGTGTTCATGCACTACCTCGATCTTATTCAGGACCACAATTGGGTCACTTCAATATTTCATTCAATANTTTTTTTTAGAATATTCTATGACATTTCAATTTTCCATTTTCCATCGTTGGAATGGTAATATAACGATGCGCAATTGATTGATTAGGGAAACTGGCGATAATGTTGTATTGAAGAGGTTATTTTAAGGTGACTGAGATTTGCATTGCTGGTGTGACGCTGTGTCGTTCATTTGAGTATATGAGTGATTTGTTGTGTTATGTGGAGAAAAGAGATATCACTGGTTGGTTGTGCTAATTGTTTTTATTGTTATGTTTGTTGTTGTTATTGCATAAGTATTTAACTGATCATTGAGTGTTTGAAGATGAAGAGACACTGGAGAGATTGTCTCGTCTGCGGTACAATCTGAGTTCATATCGAATGCTGTATGGTCCGAAAGTTTGTTGTTGCACTCATTTTTTTGTTGATTTTAACTTGGTGATTCCACTCATTTTGGTTGATGTTGGTTTGTTGAGTGAGTTTATTCGTGGCGGTAGATGCTTCATTTGTGACTTCAAAAATTTTTCTTTTTTTTTTCAAGAATTCTTCCTCCTTCTTCTTCAGTACGATCGCTTTTTGTTGTTTCATTGAGAGAAGTCTTGTACGCTTCATCTTGATCATCTTCGTGATCAATTCAGGCATCGTTCCTGGAAGACTCGGCATGGAGTAAATTCATTGAGGATAACGAATGGAAAGAGATATTTTTGCATTTCTGTGACCGCGGTTATTTCACTGAAGCGCAGATCGTTTGGCAAAGATATCTGAAAGAAATGCGCGATTGGATGCGAGATGAAGTGGATATATTCCAACAGATTATTGATATCATTCAGTTGGTCATCTCAGGTAATTGTAATTCTAATCAGTTGAAATGAATCACATAAATTATTCGCACTTTATAGTTTCTATAAATACAACGTTACAATAAAAGTTCCTAACCAATACAATATTACAGTGTTCATTCGAGCAGTTTATTTTAGCTGATTCGTTGCATGATTTGGATTGTTCAGCTCAAAAACTATTTATTCACTTGTTAAATGCTGAGTTGTTGTAGTGAGTTTATTAGTGGCGGTAGATACTTCTTCAGATAATTACATCGTACACATTTGGCGATTATATTAGACTAATTGAATGTTTTCAAATGATGCAATATTTTGAGTGAAGAAGTTTCGAACAGCAGCCTGAACGTGATTCCGAATAAAAAAGTCTGAAAATAAGCGCATTTCAGTTGATATCACTAAACTGTGGTCAGCATTGGAACTTCTCGAAACGGCAGTACTTCCAATAGCACTGACAAGAGATGCCGATTCAACGATATCGATTTGTGTGGTATGGCTAAAATCGTTGGCTTCCTATTTGGAGTCACATCATCCGTCTGAATATCCGACGAATGCGCTTAATGCATTATCGATACTGCAACGCGTCATGCGTTCAATGATACAACACGCTATAACTCCGTCTGAAATGGTAAAAAGTATACTATTGATTTATTGAGTTTTGAGTTTGATTATTTCAATTCTCATTCCAGGAATAATATTCTTCTCCCAGAAATTTTCTTACTGAATAAAGCCTCAGAATTCTGTTAATATGTGCACATCTAACTGACAATGAACAATGTTCACATTTGTTAATCGAGAAATCGCATGCAAACGAATAAGATTGTGCTTGAAAGTTGTCCGTTTTTGCATGAATACGTGAATTTATTATAGGCTGAAGTAGCGTATACATTACTCAAAACACGAGTGGATTCAGAGGATTGTGAAGACTTTATGGGACAGTTGAATGTTTACGTGAAAAATCTGAAGGAAATGAAAAAATTGAAAGAAGTTTATCAATGTCCGATGACTTACGATAAATTTACGGTGGGTGTTATTTGAGTGATTTAATGAGAAGATTCACTGAATTGAAATAATTGACGAGTCGTTTGGGAATATGGAAAACTGAAAGGAAACGATATTGTTTTGAATTCGTTGAGTTATCGTTAACGCATTTTTGGATTTTAATTCTTCTGTGCGTTAATTAAAAACATAACATATCATGTCTTATTCATAAAACTTATGATTTTTTTAATTTGTCGAAAAATGATGATCATTTGAGATTCGAGTGGTAAATCATATGGATTTATTGCGCAGATGTTTTGTTTCACCCTTTGCTCATTTATAAAAGAGATAGAAATGGTCGTTGAATATCGTATTCAGCTCGCATAAATTTGGTATTTTTAGAGTGAGACAGTTGAGTCGATATGTTTTTTGATGTTGGAAAGAGTGAGAAGTGTTCATTTGATCAGAGATAATATGGAACGTTTCGCGAAGCCGTACATGTTAGAACATCATCTTGAGTTCAATTCAACACTTTATAATTATATTGTCGTTAGTTTTTCTTAATTTTTTAAAACTATTTTATTCCGAAACAAATGAGAAATTATCGTTTTCATCTTTAACAATCCGAACATAAAATTGATGGTAAGGGTGGCTCGTGTAATTTTTTGAAAGCTGATCTTATGAGTGATAGTAAACGAGTTAATGAAAAGGGGAAGTGCACGAAATGGATTAGTCTTTTTGTTAGTATATTGATCAAAAAATGTCATTGCTTGCGTTCAAAGATAAACAAGCCAGCATTCTGCAGGCAAGACTGGTAATTCGAAATCGACAGTCGGCTTGCCAACTCAACTTGTTTCGCAATTTCGAAGAGATAAATTTGAGGAAAAAAATGATTTTGTGTTTATTATTTGAAGGGAAATCGAAGTTCAATTTCAGAGAACGTCGAACAAGTGCTCTTCGACAGTGGGTGATTCGAATCCTTGGGACGAACGTTGTTTGGCGATAACAGAGATGATCACCTGT